AGAAAGAGATAAATAAAGAAAGAAAGAAAGAAAGAAAGAAAGAAAGAAAGAAAGAAAGAAAGAAAGAAAGAGAGAAACACTCGTGCTGGGTGCATGTGTGGCTGAAGCCAAAATCCCGACAAGCGGATGGAGGAGAATGGACTGCAGCATGGCCAGCCCCCCTGGGGGGGGCTAATGAAGAACATCTTCGTCAGTTCCAGGTTTTTATTTAATTTTGCTACAGGGCGCATGTGCTCACCGGAGAAAGACAGAAACACAGAGCGAGGGAAGCGAGAGATCGGGGCCACCCTGCAGTCCCTTCTCCTCCACTCTCCTCTCGGGATTCTGGGCGTGCGCGCACACGCGCCGGCTGTGTTTTTCAAGCTGTTAGGTCCAGGATTCAAATAGTGCGGTTGGCCATGCGGGATCTGCCGCCTTACCCACCCGCCACTGGCTGACCTCGGGCTTGACAGCTGTGAATAAAGCTGCCATAAACATCTGGGTGCAGGTTTTGGTCTGGCTGTGAATTTTCAACTCATTTGGGCAAATACCAAGGAGCACGAGTGTCGGCCCCACCCCCGTTTTATTCAGTGGTAACCGTGAGGCTGGTTTTCTGTTTATGGGAGTCTTGCAAACTTTGTTTTTAAAGTAGATTTCTGTGACCAGCAGATGGCATAATGCTTATGCTGTTGGACTTCCATGTAGTGGACCACGGTTCAAGAGGAGAATAGAGAAGGAATTGCAGCATGGCCATCTCCTCAGTGGGGTGATTTGTTGCTTTCTGTCTGTCTGTCTGGTGAGCACACACACCCTATAGCCAAAAAAAAAAAAAAAACTACAAAAAAAGGAGATTTTTGGGCCAGCATGTGGCATGATGGTTAAAGGCACTGGAATTCCACATGGCAGACAGCGGTTTGAGTCCCAGACCTGGCAGCTTGCTTTCTCCCTTTCCCTCTCTCTCTCTCTGTCTCTCTCTGGTCAATTTAAAAAATAATGGTAACAGGACCTGGCAGGTGGCGTGGTGGTTGAGAGTGATGGACTCCCACATGGCCGACGGCGGTTTGGGTCCCAGACCGGACGGCTTGCCTTCTCACTTTCTCTCTCTCATTTTGTCCCTCTTTGGTCAAATTGAAATAAATAAATGGATAAAGTTAAATAAAATATTTTTATAAAAAAATAGTAACAACTGGAATTAAATAAATAATTCTTTTTTAAAAAAAAAAGTAGATTTCTCTCAATAAATATAATTGCTTCAACATAGTGAATTTTTGAAGGGAAACGTGAACTGATGAGAAATTGAGGAGCCTCACACTCTCTCTTGCCTTCATTGCTCTTCCCGGAAGGGATCCCCAGGAGGTCAAGAGGACAGCCACGCACCTGTCCTGGCACCCGGACGACCACAGGAAGTTGGCAATAGCGTACTCTTGCCTGGACTTCCAGCGGGCGCCTATGGGCATGAGCAACGACTCGTACATCTGGGATCTGGGTGAGAAGGGCAGGGGTGCTGCTGGCCGGGTCGGGGCCCAGGGGCTGGGGTGAGGCCAGTGTAAGAGGAGGTAAGAGGGAGGGAGGGAATAGAACTTGGGACCAACAGGGCTGATCTCATGAGGAGGAGCCTGGGTGCCGGGAGCCCGGGAGGGGGCCACTCGTCCTCTGGTCTAGTCCCTCCCGTCGGGGCTCAGGCATAGCTGCACAGCCAACCAGAGCCAACTCAGGAGCAGCAAGCCCATCCCGGTGCAGCTCCTTAACCCAGGGCACCAGGACCAGCCCCGGGCCAGCAGGCGGCATGGAGACTGAGGAGGCTGGATCCCACATGACCTGCTGAGCCGTTCAGGGTCTAGACCCAGCGGCTGGAGAATCACACCAGCACACACGCATGCCTGCCCAGAGTCCAGGGAGAATGGAGAAGGATTATGGCTGGCCATGCCCCTGGGAGATAGTTTTTCACTTTCCCTCTCTCTGTCTCTCTCTGTCACTCTCCTGCAAGCACATGTGCCCTACAGAAAACTAGAGAAATCATTTTTTAAAAGACCAGGATCCCAGCAGCCTGAGAAAGGACCCAGCAGGCCGGCGAGGGGACTCAAGCCCCTGCCCCACCTTTGCCAGCACTTGTCCTTAACCCACCTGGGAACGTGGACCGCTGTCTATAGAAGGGCCCGCTCTGGGGGCCAGAGCCAGCAGGGAGCCGGTGAGCGGAAGGAATGTGGGTACCAGGCACAGACCCGGCGCTGCTCACACCCTCAGTTCCCACAGCAGCCCCCGGGCAGGCTCCGTCACTGCCCTCTGTCCACAGACCTGCTTCAGAGAAGTCCGTGGAGGACTGACTCTGAAAACTTGAGAGTCGAAACCTCATTTCACACTGAGCCTGGGAAATAAACTAGAAATATCATTAAACACACATGAGCACACACCCCAATCCTGGTCCCCCGAATAAAATCATTAACAGTCCCCAAAGGCCAAGGCTTCCTCCCTGTCGCTTGCCCCTGCACCGGTCTAGACAGGGTTAAACTGGTTGGCTCTGTCCTTCCTTTCCAAGCTTGGTGAGCTTTATTTTCTTTTTTAAAGAATCATTTAATTTTATTTATTATTACTACTTTTTAATTTGACCAGAGAGAGAGAGAGAGGGAAAGTGAGAAAGCAAGCCGCTGGGTCCGGGACTCAAACTGTGGTCAGCCGTGTGGGAGTCCAGCACCTTAACCCCCATGCCGCCTGCCAGCCCCTCATTCCTTTCTGTTGTAGAAAACCCCAACAAGCCTGAAATTGCTCTGAGGTCGTCTTCTCCGCTCATCACCCTGGAGTACAACCCCAAAGACTCCCACGTGCTCCTGGGGGGCTGCTACAACGGGCAGATAGGTAAGGGGGGTCCAGGCGCCTAGCAACCGGTCCTGCTGTGGGGGCGCCACAGCCTACATGCCAGCCTGGGCCTGGCCGGGAAGACCACGCGGGCAGGGAAGACCCACAGCTGGCCAGCTGCAGACACCCTTAGAGTCAGGGCCTGCTGGCACCTTGGCGCCATCTCCGGCTGTAATCAGTGAGCAAGTCTCAAAGCAGTTCAGGAAATCTTTTTTCGCAAACCGTAATTGGAAGCCGGACGGTGGTCAGCAGTGAAACAAGACACCCTGCAAGGCCGACCCACCTGGGAAGGTTCCGGGTTCACATCCGAAGACCTCCCAGGGAAGCGGGGCTCATGGGTGGGCATGGTCCGGGTTGGCTGGCTGTAGAGGATCACAGCATCAAGACCGCTGGGGCCGCTGCCTCTGCCTCTTGGAAGAAATAAATAATACCCTTTACAAAACGAAACGACTGTGGTTCAGGTCACGTCAAGGAACACCTGACTGGGGCCAGCCTGACAGGGACGGTGAGGCCACGAGAAGCCCCATCTGGGGAACGGCAGTCAGGGAGTCGTGTGGTCACCTGTCTGCGTAATACACTCCTATAGGAGTTAGCAAGTGTCCCCTCCTCTTCTGGGTTTTTGAAGAGTTCGTGAAGAACCGGTGTTCGTTCTTTGAGTGTTGGGCAGAATTCCCCAGAGACGCCCTCTGGTCCTGGGCTTTTCTTTATTGGGAGTTTAAAAATGACTAATTCAATCTCCTTCCGTGGTATCGGTCTCTTCGCATTGTCTATTTCTTCTCCAATCAGTCTTGGTAGTTTCTGTCCTTCTAGAAGCTTCTCCATTTCATCGGGATTTTCTGACTTGTTGACATACGATGGTTCCCAGTATCCACTGACAATCACTTTCGTTTCTGCAGGGTCGGGAGTAATTGGCCCTACTTTGTGATTTTTGTCATTTGAAGTTTATTTCATTCATAATAGAGGGCACACTCACACACGAGAGAGAGAGAGAGAGAGGCAGGGACCGCTGACAGGGTCTGGTCATGCTGCAGTCTCCTTCCGGCCCTGCAGTCCAGGATGCTACGCACGTACCACGAGGCTGGGCAAATTTTAGTAAATACAGTCTTCCCTCTTTTTTGCTTAGTAGTCAAACTAGAGGTTTTTCATTTTTGTTATCTTTTCAAGGAACTAGATTTTGGCTTTATTGATTTTTCGGTTGTTTTTAATTCCTTTTTTCTTCATTGATTGCTAGAGGATGCGTGCTCTCACTAGAGAGAAAGAGAGAGGAAGCACCCCAATCCATTTCCTCCATTTCTCCACCCCATCAGAATTTGGGGTACACACACATGTGCCCAGCATGTTTTTCAAGCTGCTGAGGCCAGGATTCGAACTGCGATTAGCCGGGTGGGTTCCAGCTCCCCATACACAGCTCTTAATCACTGCACATGGGGCTGGCCCTCCTTGAGTCCTTTAAACATGATTTCCTTGAATCCTCTGAACGTATTTAAATAGACGGTTTAGGGCTTCGTCTAGAGCAGCCATCACCTAGGCTTCCTTGGGGACACTCTGCTGCCCCCCGTTTGTCTCTTACAGTTGTTTGCTGAAGACTGGACTTCCCGTATGACGTCATGCGGTAACTTTGAACCAGGTTCTCGCACTTCCTGGGGTTTGTTTCCATTGCTGTTCACTGTCACTTCTTATTAGTGGCTTTCCTTAACTCATCCTGTAGTCTGTCGTGTGCGGTTACTACAGTTTACTCGGTTAGCTAAGTGATGAGTTCATTATTGGACAAAGGGTTTCTTTAAAAGTAAAAACAGTTTAGGGACTGGCAGATAGTGTAATAGTTACATCGCTGGACTCACACATAGTCCACCACGGTTTGAGTCCTGGACTTGGCAGCTTAAAACTCCTGCCAGGTGCACCGAAAATCCTGAGAGGAAAATGGAGGAGAAGGGACTGTGGCATGGCCATCCCCCGTTGGGGGTGATTTCTCACTTTCTGTCTCTGTCTGTCTCTCTCTCTGGTGAGCACACACGCCCTATAGCAAAAAAACTCTTAAAAAAAAAAAAAGTTTGCTATGGGGCACATGCACTTGCCCGAGAGAGACAGACAGTGAGAGAGAGAGAGGGAAAGTGAGAAATCACCCAATCACCCCCAGGGTGAGGGCCAAGCTGCAATCCCTTCTCCTCCAAGTTTCTCTCAGGATTTCAGACATGTTCACACACACCTGCTGAGTTTCTCAAGCCGCTGGGTCTGGGACTTGAACTGCAGAGTCAGCTATATGGGATCCAGCACCTTGACCACCATGCCACCTGCTGGCCCATGGGCAAAGATTTTCTTAAAGCCTGGGAGCTTAAATGTCCCAGTCTTCACCAAGGGGCTCTGTGTGCGTGTCGAGCCTGCCTCCAACACCCAGCGGACAGTCGTCATCCGCCCACCCAGCCTCTGCACGGAGCCCCGACATCAGGCCGGGGTGAGAACTGAGGCCTCCTCCGGCCTTCCCCGATCGTAGCACAGCGTGGGCCATGCATTCGCCTGTGCGTGTGGCCTCCAGGCTCCCAGGCATACACTGGAGCTTTTAAAGCCACTGCGGACACGTCATGCTCCTGCTTTTCCGCAGGAGCTTCCTGGCTAGCCCACCCACCACCCACCAGTTCAGAACGCCGCAGACTTCACAGGTGCACTCCGAGTCAGACCAGCTGTAGGTCACCGAGCAAGGCGGGGCTTCCAGGGACCACCAGGCAGTCAGATGGCAGTGTTCTGGAGGCTCTGAAGGAGCCCCATCCTATTCCTCCGACTGCCAGGCTACTGGTTTCCAGCAGGAACGCAGGGTGTTGTTCTCCAAGGCTATGGTGGGATCAGAGACCGTGAGATTTCAGCTGGTTGTGGCAAGTTAACGTGTCAGGACTCACTGTTCTCACCCAGATGCAGCTGTTTTTCTAGAATAAACGCCTTCGGGGTTGGCTCGTTTCAGAGTTCTGAGAAAGTTGATTCTGACCATTTTTAACCAATTTTCTCATGGCTGTGTCGGAGGAGAGACTTTTCAGGCGTCCTTACTCCACAAGTTTTGCGAATGGCAAATCCAAGAAACTGATTTTGCTTTTTTAACCCCTGGTGGAAGAGGAAGCCTGCCCACATCTGCTCTGAACATCCCTGTCTACTCCCCACCCCAGCCAGACACCTGCTCCTCAGGACCACACCCCGGACCAGTCTCGCATAAACAGTGGCCCCCACGGCCCCCACCTTCACACGCTCTTTTGCTTTCTCTTCTTCCTTAGGGAGTGGGAACCAGGAGGGCTGAGCAGCGTCTCCTCCGAAACGCTCTGGGCTGGTCCCTGAGGTCCCGATCTCCCTCTGCCTCCTTCCAGGGGAGTTTCCTTCTTCTGGAATACATTCAGGCTTCCATAAATCTCTCTGCCAAGTTATCTGGGAGCTGGAGTGCTCAGACTGAGACGGGCCACTAGGCATGATTTATTCAGCAGCCTTGTCTCACTCATTATTCATAACCCCTTTCAGTGGTTTTTCGTGGCGGTGTAGACCGGCGCAGCCTCTGGGCCCTGCTGCTGGAGGGTGGGCCCCTGCAGGGGTGAGAAGGACCCAGCAGGCCCCAGCTCTGAGTGCTGCCTCACCCAAGCAGAGCAAGCTTAGCTAAGAACCAGCCGGTTCAGGAGCCCATGCCTGGGACGTGGGGAAATAATAAGGTGAAATGTATGGACAAAGTATTTTTGTTATTTTACAAATCGGCTTCTCTAGAAACAGCTCTGGTAACAGGGAGCCTCCTCAGTGCACGCTCAGGGAAAAGTGAAACAAAATCTTTGAAGGACACAAAAATAGATAAGCTTCACCTCTTTCCTGGCAAAGCACAGAGAACAGAGCTCAATCCAGGGGCAAGCTCCTCGGGGTTTCTCTCCCACGGAGGCAGCCAGAAGTGCAGGGGGTTAAAGGGGAAGGGCTCTTGCCATTGGAGAGGTTTGTCCCACCTCAGGGGGCCTCTCTGCCTCCCCCGCACCCAGGCTGGAGATGAGCTTCTTCTCTCTGCCTAGCTCACTCCCTCCGGAGGCTTAGCCTCAGTCTCAGCTCTGTCACCTCCTCCAAGAGGCTTTCCCTGATACCCTCATGTGCTCCCCGCACCCACAGTAATCTTAGTGTGGGCTGCGGGGGGCATGGCAGGTCCCCAGCAGCTTCCCCGTGGCCTAGTGTGGCCCATAGCGTGTGGCAGGAGTTTGACAGAATGAATGTCATGTGCAGCTGGCGTCTCTTCATGCTCAGGGGCCTGCCAGGTACTCAGGCTGGCCTGCCTCACCTGACTGTAAAACATAACACACCTGGGACCAGCAGTTAGCGTAATGGCTATGTCGCTGGACTCCCACATTGTCAACCGCGGTTCAGGTCCTGGACCTGGCGGCTCAAACTCACGCCGGGTGCGTGTTCATGCGTGCCCAAGATCCCAAGAGGAGAATGGAGGAGAAGGGATTGCAGTGTGGCCATCCCCCATGGGGGGTGATTTCTTGCTTTCTATCTCTCTGTCTCTCTCTGTCTTTCTGGCGAGCACACGCACTCTGTAGCAAAAACCTCTAAAAAAAAACAAAAAAAAACAAAACCACATAACACACCTGCCAAACCAGGAGAAGTAGTGTCCCTCTGTCCCCTGCTCCCTACTCCTGAGGGGAAGCCTATGCCCCTTTCACCCCACCCTCATCTCCTCCCACAGCCTGCTGGGACACCCGGAAGGGCAGTCTGGTGGCCGAGCTGTCCACCGTGGAGTTCAGTCACCGGGATCCTGTGTACGGCACCATCTGGCTGCAGTCGAAGACAGGCACCGAGTGCTTCTCCGCGTCCACCGATGGCCAGGTACGCCCGGCCAGGCACGGAGTCGGGGTGCTGGGAGGGCAGTACCGGCTCCTGCGTCCCGTCAGAATCACGTGGGGACTGCTTCCCTGTGCACCTAAGTTCGTAATTGAACAGTGGCCCATACATGCAAAAGGGCAGAGACCAAGATGCCTTCCTCTCACCTACGAGGGGCCTTCAAAAGCTCACAGAAAATGCAGAGCATAAAAATACTACGCATGGATTTTTTTTGGAAAGGTTTTTGCTATAGGGCATATGCACTCGCCAGAAAGACCAAGACAGAAAGTGAGAAATCACCCCGGGGGGTGGTGGTGGTGGTGGCGGCGGCCATGCCACAATCCTTTTTCCTCCATTCTCCAATCAGGGTTTGGGGCATGCACACACTTGGTGTGATTTTCAAGCCACCAGGTCCAAGACTCGAACCATAGTTGGGGGAGTCCGGCACCTTAGCCACCACACCAAATGCTGGACCCCCAGGTGTATTTTTAACATTGCTAGAAAGTGCCAAATTGTGGTGGGCCTTGAAGAATACAACTTCCTGGGCCCACGCCTGGTGGTTTTGATTCAGTTGTTCTGGGGCGAGGCCCCGGTGTCTGGATTTGACATGGCTTGGGGACTGTGGGCCAGAGCAGTGATTCTTCACTGCATTTGCTCTCACGGGTCCCATATCCCAGGTTGCCCCGTGGGAGGTGGAAGGGGCTGGGGAGGTCACAGCCAGGGGCCCCGCGGCCCCACAGTCTCAGCGTGGCCCTCCCGCCAGGTCATGTGGTGGGACATCCGGAAGATCAGCGAGCCCACGGAGGTGGTGGTCATGGACATCACCAGGAAGGAACAGCTGGAGAACGCCTTGGGCGCCATCTCCCTGGAGTTCGAGCCGACTCTGGTGAGTGTCCTTTGCTTTCACCCCTACTCCGTGTGACTTCCACTGTCAGAGCAGCTGGGGCTAAAGACAGGCCACAGTAGTGAGTCAAAGGCTCTGGACAAGAGGGTGGGGGGCCAGCCCCAAGGCCGCCAGCCCCATTGCAGTCGTTCAGACTGGTGTGGTCGTTACAGCAATATTCCAGCAGGGGGCAGCAGAGCCGCTCGGAGAAGAAGGTCATTCCTATTTAGGCCAAGCCGCCACCTGGCTAGTGGGGATGCTGACCAGAAGTCTTCCAGGCGGGACAGAATTCCAGAGAAGCCCAGTGCTATGGAAAGAACCCTGCCCAAGAGCAATATCAGGTGGCTTGGTCCCTGACCCAGGCCCTGTCCCTGCCTCTTGTGGAGCCTTGGGCTTGTCACTTCCCTTCCACTGAGGAAGGAAGAGGTGTTGAAGACGGAAGTGATACTGGAGGAGGCTCCTTGGGAAACCAGAGTTCAGGCGTGATCACGGTGGTCGGTAACTGAGAGAGCAGTGGAGAACTGACACGGGTCGGATGGTGGAGCGGGGTAGAACGTAATGCTCTGGAAGGCTGGCCCACGTCGGGAGGTTCTAGGTTGATACCCAGAGACCTCCCTGCCCGTGCTGGGTACCTGCATGCCCGGGACCCAGGGCTGGCCGAGGCCGTGGATGGATCATGGTGTCACCTCTTGTTGGCGGTGCTGTCACTCTGTCTCTCTATCACTTTCATGGAGGAAATAAGTAAATTAAAAATAATAATAATAACGAAATTGAGCAGTAATGTGAGTGTGTCAATGCAGGGAAGTTCCTTGAAGTAGCAGATGAAGGTTGTCTCTCTAAAGCAGGAAAGTTACTCTCCCAGATGGCTCTTGTCTCGGGCTCATTCCTGGCTCGTATCTCATGTACACTCAGGCCTGGTTTCCCCTTGGGGGTGTCACTTATTTGCATCGATGTCACATGGCATCATTCCTAGGACTTTGGGAGGTTCTGGCCTCACACCTGCCCTGGGAGACCTTTCCCAAGGCTGAGGGATAAATGCTGGTGGGATGACATGAGAGCAGAGACGATTCAACTGATCCCTGACCCCGACAGGAGAGGACAGACACTGGGTACGGAGGTTGGAGTGGGGAGGGCCCAGACAAACAACCTGTCCTGGACGCAAAGATTTCCAGGCCAAGAGCTAGCTGCTCTGGCCACGCCCCTCACCCGCCTTCCCACGCCCACCCCTCCCTGAGTGCGGACGCTCTAGGTGCTCTGGCCACGCCCCTCACCCGCCTTCCCCGAGCCCGCCCCTCCCTGAGCACCGACGCTCTAGATGCTCTGGCCACGCCCCTCACCCGCCTTCCCCGAGCCCGCCCCTCCCTGAGCGCGGACGCTCTAGCCGCCTCAGCCTGACAGGTGAGCAGTACAGTCGCCTGTAACCACCTCGTGAGGGCGTGTTGTCGCTACTTTCCAGATAGACAAGATTCTTCTCGGTGAGGTTAGGTTACGAGTGCTTGTACATGGCGAGGGTGGGACTCCAGCCGGGGCTCCAACGCCAAGGCCAGGCTATCAATCCTGCACCTGCGTGGCTTTGCTGCCCGAGGAGGTCCCAGGCACCCCGAGTGCGCTGGATGCCACCAGACTGTGTTCTCCTGGACCTCCTGAGCTTGGCCTCTTCTCGGCTCTGACACACGACTCGTAGCCCAGTTTATTTGCTTAGATTGTGTGAGAAAGCACATAACTTAACACGCTGGCTTGGAGACGCAGCAGTAATGCGCTGTTCAAGAGAAGCCGATCTCACACCCTGCTGTGGTTCAAATCCACTGCCCTGCCAGCCTGGTATATGTTGGTCATGGGTGCCCAAGGGCTGATGAGCTGGAGAGGACTGCAGATGACACACCCTGTGAAGGGTCTCTCTCCCTCTCTCCCTCCCACATAAACACATGTGCACTCTGTCTTGCACAGAAAAGCGTAAAAACAGAAAAAAAGCGCATCACGAAATGTACCACCGTGACCGTTTCCAAGTGTGTGATTCAGGAGTGTTAGGCCTGTCCACACTGCTGTCTCTGGAGCTTTTTCATCTTCAAAGCTGGAGCTCTGCAACCCGTTAAACGACAGTCCCCCCTTCCCCTGCCCCTAGCAGCCGCTGCCGTTCTGCTTTCTGCCTCTGTGGGTTGACCTGCTCTGGTACTACGTGTCGGCGGGGTCTACACTCTGTCTTTTTGTGACTGTCTTATTCCGCTTACTGTGATATCCTTTGGACTCGCCCATGGCTGGACGGGGTTTCCTTCCCTTTCAGGGCTGAGAATTATGCCCTCGTGTGACTAGATTGCGTTTTGTCTACCGGTTCCTCCACTGGTGACACGTCTGTGTGGTGCTTCCAGCTCTGGCCTCGGTGTTTGGGTCTGCCTGGATGTGAGTGTGCGACGTAGCCGGGGTTGCAAGGACTTTGTGAAGGGCCACCGTACCTCCTTGCATCTGGTGTCGTCGAGGCCCAGGTGTGGGTTTGCGGGGTGCATCTGTGATCAGAGACAAGCAAGCCCCTCTGCCCTTTACAGGCTGCATCGCCGTGTGGGACAGACCGTAAACAATAAATAGAACGCAGAGCTTGTAGGTGACAGGAACTGTGGGGTCAGGAGCGTAGAGCAGGGTACGCGGTGTGAGTTGTGGGTCGGACTGAGGGGATCGGGTGGAATGTGAAACAGCGACTCTGGGAGTCATTGCTTTGTGCCACTTGAGCCAAGTCTGGAAGGAAGTGAGACTTAGCCAAGCGGGCCTCGGGGGTGGGGTGGGCACTGCCACAGGAACGTTCTGAGGCTCAGAGCTTGAGTGGGGAGGGCCCAAAGGTGCCTCGTGTGACTGGAGCCGAGTGACGAGAAGGGAGGGGACAGAGAAACCGTGGAGGGCCTGTGGGCCGCGGGGAGGCTTAGGCAGGGGCTATCGGGGAGGCCACAGCAATCAATTTATGCCACAGATTAGCTCATGTGACTTCCATTGCCACATCACAGTTACTGTGACCCGAGTGACTGAAGACGACACACACTTGACCTCACAGTCCTGGAGGCTTGGAACACCGTGATGGGGCGGTGCCGTCAGCTCTCCCGAGGCTGTGCTCCGAGTGTGGCTGGGCCGTGTCCTCACCTGGAAGCTTGCCTGGGAAGGGTCACTTCTACGACCCTCTGTTGTCGTCAGAATTCAGCTCCTGTCTGCTGTCCTTGCTGACAGCCTGTGCACCTCACCCCGGGCCCCCTTCTCAGGACTTCTTTATTTTTTACTTTGCTACTGGGCTCATGCACACTACAGAGAATGAGACAGAGACACAGAGAAAGAGAGAGAAAGTGAGAACCCTCTCCCCGGGGAATGGCCGTGTCCCAAGCTCTTCTCCATTCCCCTCCCAGGACTCTGGGCATGCACTCACACGCTCCCGGAGTGATTTTCAAGCCTCCAGGTCTCAGACTCAAACCACCGAGTTGGCCGTGTGGAAGCCAACCGCCTTAACCACCCTACCACCCACTGGCCTCTCACAACAGGCCCAGCGTGGAGGGAGGGCCCAGTCTGCCATGCCGGGTTCCGCACAGTGTAGCGTGGCCATGGGAGTGGCGTCTGTGACCTGTAGCGCAGATCTGAGGCACAGCCGTGTCCACACCAGAGGGCAGAACTCACTGGGGTCACCTCAGCGGTCACAGTCTGGCCACTGAACTGGGAGGATAGTCATGGGGAAAGGCGTAGAATCCAGAGGCTGTGACAACAGTTAGGCACAGGATGGAGGGGGCTGGGGCCGGAGTGCTGGCACGGAGGTACCGAGAGGCGGGTGGATTCTGAATCTATCAATACATCCAAGGGCACCCTCCACTGTCCGGCTCCTAGGGACTTCCGGGGAGGGGCAGCTGACACACCCTCACCAGTACCAACTGACGGGCGCTTCGGCACCGCCCGTCCCCTGCAGGCACTTCTGCAGGCTGGGTCAGGGCTGCAGCAGGGCCCTCCGGCTCCTTGTGGCAGCGAGGTGTCTGCGCGGCTTCCTAGCCTCACCACCCACGCAGGCCTGCTGCTGGGTCTGTGGTCAGGGGTCCGGAGACCAGCCTTCGTCCATGCAGTCCGCAGTGACATGGGCCTCCCTGGGGCCAGTCGGCGGCCCCAGCACCAAGTTAGACAGGCGTGCTCCCTTGGGGAGCTCGTCGCTCAGTGGGGAGATAAACGTCATCCCTGGCAGCGGAGTGGCTTTCCCCCTGCGGGGGGGTGCCTCCCCGGGTGGGGGGTGGCCACTGTGATGAGTCCCCAGGGACATACCACCTAGACGTGCTCAGGCTAATGTCCCTGCCCTGCCAGATGAGGCCCTGACCGTCCTCTGAGTGACCCGGGTCACGCTGCATCCTCTCTGTGGGCCTCGTTTACTCCGTTCATAAACAGAATGAACCCGCTCAGGGTTGTTTTTTGGTTTTTTTTTTTAATTGCCAGAGGGTGCATGTGCTCACCAAGAGAGACAGCGACACAGATAAAGAGGAAGAAAGCATCCCTCAATGGGGCGTGTCTCCATTTTTCTGTCCTGTCAGGATTTGGGGCAGACACCTGCCCTGGGCATTTTTCAAGCCCAGGGGCTGGGATTTGAACCACAGTCAGCCCTCTGGGATTAGGCTCCCTTAATGCCAAATGGCCTAGCATGAGACCCCCCAGGGACTGGGAGAGGCAGGGAGGCCACCATTCAGTATGAGTCCTCGAACAAGTTCCCAAACAGGTGGGATCTGATGAGGCTGGGAAGGGGGTGACGGGGGGGCGGGGGGCACAATGGGCAGAGCCTTGAACTGAGGGCCCTTCCAGCACCAGCAGACCACCCCTCCACCCCCGCGGGCTGCTGGTCGTCAGCTAAGCCCAGAGCTGACGTGTCATGGAGCCCCCACTCCTGTGCCCCCTCCACAGCCAACCAAGTTCATGGTGGGCACCGAGCAGGGCATCGTCATCTCCTGCAACCGCAAGGCCAAGACAGCGGCCGAGAAGATCGTGTGCACCTTCTCGGGCCACCATGGCCCCATCTACGCCCTCCAGAGAAACCCCTTCTACCCGAAGAACTTCCTGACCGTCGGCGACTGGACGGCGCGTGTCTGGTCTGAAGACAGCCGGGAGTCTTCCATCATGTGGACCAAGTGAGGGGTCGCGGGGGGCTGGGGGTGCAGGGCTGCGGTGGGGCCCACCGGGCCCAGCAGTGTCCATCTGTAAGACTGGGAAAACAGCCCTCCACAGACACCCAGGCTTGTTTCAAGAAGTGGCTTGGGGCCAGCCCATGGCCTGGTGGTAAAGGCTGCTGGATCCCACATGGCCAACTTTGTGGTTCAAGTCCCGGAGCCAGGCTTCAAAAACATGCTGGATGCGTGTGCACGCGTGCCCCAAATCCTGAGACGAGGGAGTGATGAAGGAGAAGAGATTGTGGCCCGTCTCCCATGGTTGTACTTTCTTGCCTTCTCCCCCACTGTCCATCTCCCCCCACCCCCCGTCCCAACTCTGACGATTGCACAAGCCCTCTAAAAAATTTAAAAAAAAAGAAATAAAAGAAAGAAAGAAAGAAAAGAGAAAAAGATGACAAGCAGCTAAATTACTCCATTTTGTTGAAGAAAAAGCATCAGATTGCCCGGATCACTGATGACAGCCACGTTCATTTCCGTGGTCCTCAGAAGAGCCCCGGGAGTGGTAACATTTCCCTTCCGGTCATCTTGCTTTTCGTGTTAGGAAACTGAGTCACGAGACAGCGAGCACTTCTCCTGGCCTCCCAGCTGGCGGGGAGCGGACTGGGGTTTGAACCCAGGAAGCTCGGCTGGAGGGTCTGGCCGCCTCGCCATGGTGGCCTGGTGCTTGGTGGCAGTACCATACCCAGAGGGGTCTTCCCGCCTCCGAGGGCTGGACAGAGAGGGCGCCTGAGGCCGGAGGGGAGCACATGGATCAGAGGAGAGCCACGGCCGTGGCCCCTCACCTCTTCTCCGAAGGGCCCCCTTATCTCTCCCATCACTTTCACCTCCTCTGCACATACCCTGAGCTAACCGCCCCCACAGTTCCTCCCCACCGAGCACTCCTCACCCTTCTCTTGCTGAAAAGGAGGGACACAGGGGTTCCTTCCCAGCTCCTGGACTCGCGTTGATGCCGCTGTCCACCCTGACGGGCATCTCCAGGTCCGGTGGCCCCCAAGTCTGGTTGCATCAGAATCTCCTGGGAGGACTTATTTTTTTATTTTTTATTTTTTGAGAGGTTTTTTGCTATAGGGCGTGTGCGCTCGCCAGACAGAGAGATAGAAAGTGCAAATTCACTCCCCAGGGGGGATGGCCACGCCACAATCCCTTCTCCTCCATTCTCCTCTCGGGATCCTGGGCACGCACGCACAAGCGCCCAGCGTGAATTTTAAGCCACCCGGTCCGGGACGCAAACCATGGTTGACTACGTGGGAGTCCAGCAACATAGCCATTACGCTAACTGCTGGTCCCAGGAGGACTTATTTTTTTAAGTCCAAATTCCAGACTCCATCCCTGGGTTCCAGTGTTTTGGATCTAAGATTCAGCCCAGGAATGGGCTCGCTCGGCCTCCTCAGGGCTGAGACTCAGCCAGGCTTTGCGAAAGTGTAGAAATCTGGCCCAGCGTGCCCAGTCTGCAGGGGCCGGAGGCTCCGAACCGCCTGCACTCCACAGCAAGCGGGAAAGCGCTGAGCCCCTGAGACCTGGGGTAGAGGGAAGACCAGGAGTCCTTTTCAGATTTCTGGAGCCTTCCATGGGTCCTGCCTCTGCTGGCTGCGTGCTAAAGGGGAGGTGAGGGCAAGGATGGGGTGATGAGCAAGCCTGCTCCAGCTTGGCTCAGGGTTTGTTCCTGGGAGATGTGTGTGTGTGTGTGTGGGGGGGGGGGGGGGGGGGGGCTGTGTCCTGAGCTGAGGTCCTGTTGTCCTTCTGCATAGGGTCATTGAGCTTGCTCACGTACACGCACACACACACACACACACACACACACACACGCACGACCACAAATTAAATTCACATTTCAGAAAGAAACAACAAAAGCATTTTTTTCTTTCTTTCTTTCTTTTTTTAGAATTTTTGCCACAGGGCAAGGGCACTTGCTGGAGAGAGACAGAAAGCGAGAAACCACCCCCAAGGGGGATGGCCATGCTGCAATCCCTCCTCCTCCATTCTCTCGGGGTTTGGGGCATGCACACATACGCACCTGGTGTGATTTTCTTTCTTTCTTTGGAGACAGATTTTTGCTATAGGGCATGTGCGTTCGCTGGATAGGCAGAGGACAGAAAGTGAGAAATCACTCCACACACACTGGGGATGATCATGCCACAATCCCTTCTCCTCTATTCTCCTCTTGAGATTTTGGGCACGTACGCACATGCATCTGGCATGAGTTTCAAGCCTCTGGGTCTGGGATTTGAACCACCGTCTGCCACGTGGGAGTCCGGCGATGTAACTGTTATGATATCTGCTGGTCCCGTGCCTGTTGTGACTTTCAGTCACCAGATCCGGCACTCGAACGGCGGTCAGCCATGTGGGATCTAGCACCTTACCCACACCACCAGCTGGTCCCTTTCTTGTCATAAGTATGTCCATGCAATATTTGGGATATACCTGTATCCAGCAATATTTATTGTTAGACAAAAATCTTCAGATAGTTTCTTTTTCTTTTTATTTCTTTCTTTCTTTTTTTTTTTTTTTTAGAGGTTTTTGCTATAGGGCATGTGCACTTGCCAGAAAAACAGAGACAAAGAGACAGAAAGTGAGAAATCACCCCCCAGAGGGGATGGCCACGCCGCAATCCCTTTTCCTCCATTCTCTTGGGATCTTGGGCACGCACGCACACGTCCCTGGCATGATTTTAAGCCACCAGGTCTGGGACTCAAACCGCGGTAGGCCACATGGGAGTCCAGTGACATAACCATTACGCCAACTGCTGGTCCCCAGGTAGTTTCTTTTTCTTTCTTTTTTTTTTCTTTCCTTTTTAAAAAGTTCTTGCTATAGGACACACACACTCACTGGAGAGAGAGAGGGGAGAGTGAGAAAGCACCTAGAATGGCCACAGTCCCTTCTCCATTGTCCTCTCAGGATGTCGTGTACATGCGCACGCACCCAGCGTGTTTCTCAGGCTGCCAGGTCCTGGATGAGACTGCATGCTGGGCAGTGTGGGGTGCAGCTGCCTTGACCGCCATGCCAGCCCACTGGCCAGGGGGTTTCCTTCTTCTCCACCATGCCTCCGGCTGTGGCCGAGTGTCCACACACACAGCTGCAAAGAAGGCTGGGAAGTGTAGTCTCTGGCCTGGCCACCACGGGCCCAGCTACGACTGGGTCACTGAGCAGGAAAGGAGAATGGGTTTTGGTGGCCAAGTCTCCACTGTGTATGCACGTGTGTGCTTGTTTACTTTTTAAGAAAAAAAAAAAACGAATTATTTAACTTTATTTGCTGTTATTATTTATTTTTTTAATTTGACCAAACAGAGACAGAGAGAGAAAGAGAAAGTGAGAAAGCAAGCTGCCAGGTCCGGGACTTGAGCCATAGTTGGTCATATGGGAGTCCAACACCCTAACCACCATGCCACCTGCCCGCCCCTGTGTGTTCCTTTTTAAAAATTGTTCAGTGAAGAAACTTCTAAAAGCCCAGATTAAACCAAGTGGGACGCATAGCTGTTGTAACCCCGTGTTACGCATGTCTCCGGGCACGTCCTTCTTCAACCGCTCTCCGCGTGTCCCAGGGCTGGGCGCAAGACCATGAGTGCCTGGAGCTGTCCGTGGGGAAGAGCCGCCTGCACGGGGCCACACAGAGGGCCACAGTCAAATGTGACTCTGCAAGGCTGGCCCACGGGGGAAGGTCATGCTCGGGGGCCTTTCCAAGTATGCCAGGCATGCGGGTGGCATGGTTCAGGCTGGCTGACGCTGGGGGTGGATCCTGGCATCAAGGCCTCGGGGAGGGTGCGCTCTCCCTCTCTCGCTCATGAAAGAAATCAATTTTCTTTTGTTTTAATTTTTGCTCCAGGATGCATGCACTTGTCAGAGAGAGACATGGAGAGAGAAAGTGAGAGATCATCCCCCCGGGAGAAGGTCCACGCTGCAGTCCCTTCTCCATTCTCCTCTCGGGCTTTTGGACACGCATGCTCATGAGTCTGGCGTGTTTTTCTTTTTTCCTTTATATATATATATATTTTTTAGCTTTGTTTGCCATGGGACCAGCAGGTGGTGTGGTGGTTAAGGTGCTGGACACTCCCACATGGCCGACCACAATTCGAGTCCTAGATCCAGTGGCTTGCTTTCTCATTTTCTCTCTCTCTCTCTCTTTCCGTGTGTGTGTGTGTGTGCTCTCTCTCTCTCTCTTTCTCTCTCTCTCTCTCTCTCTTTCTCTCTCTCTCTCCGTGTGTGTGTGTATTTGTGTGTGTGTGTATCTGGTCAGATTAAAAAATAAGTGAATGAATAAATAAAATTAAATAAATAATTATTTTTTAATTTAAAAATAAAGGTTTTTTTGCCACAGGGTGCATGCACTCACCAGAGACAGAGACAGAGAGAGGGAAAGTAAGAAATCGCCCCCAGCACAGATGGCCAGGCCACACTTCCCTCTCCTCCAGCCTCCTTAGGTATGCACACACACACACCCAACACGATTTTCAAGCTACCAGGTCCAGGACTTGAACTGGAGTCAGCCAGGTCAGAGCCCAGCACTTTAACCACCACACCAAATGCTGGGCCCCTGGCATGTTTTTCGAGCCACCAGATACAGGACTCAAACTGCACCATAGGCCATGTGGGATCTGGTGCCTTAACCTCCACGCCACCTGCTGGCTCTGCTTTTCTTTTCAAAGCGAAGAGCAGCCTTGAGGCTTGGACAGCAGAGGTCTGCATAGCGAGAAGTCAAGCACAGGGGAGGGTGGGCGGCCTGGAGCCCGGCAGGGCCTGGAGGGTGGCGCTGGGGCCCAGCAGCCTGTCCCTCAGCCATGGTGGCCCCCGACACGGCCCGGCTCCCACAGGTACCACATGGCTTACCTCACCGACGGCGCCTGGAGCCCCACGAGGCCAGCGGTTTTCTTCACCACCAAGATGGATGGGACGCTGGACATCTGGGACATTGTGTTCAAGCAGTGTGACCCTGCCCTCAGCCTGAAGGTCATGTGCACCCCTCCCTGTGCATCCAGCCCTCGGTTAGGGGAGCCCTTTTTCAGATGGGTCTGAGGGCAGCATGGCCATGGCATGGCATGAACACGTGTGTGGTCGGGTGCATCTGTGAGTTTGGGGGCGTCTCTGGGTGAGCTGAGTTGACTGCTCCTTTTGCTCCAGGAACATGTGTTCCTGCAGAGGTTGAAGGGCCTGGGGGACTTGAGACCCTTCTCCTCCAGAGCACCCAGACATGGCTCCTGGCAGCTGCCCCTGCGAGTCTGAGCTAATGTTAGCATATACCATGGGAGGCCATGGGTGGACGGCAGGGGGTGAGGTGGGGAGGGCTGGGCTGGGAGGCCAAGGATCCTGACAGCCAGTCTGCAGTTCAGGCTTCACCCTGTGGGCCGGCGTCTGAGGGTGTATGGCCAGGACCGAGTGGCTAAGCCTCCGGGGTCAGCTAGGCAGAGGTAACTGCTCCTCGCTCCTGCCCCACCGAGGCCTTTCTGTCCCCCAGCAGGTATGTGACGAGGCCCTCTTCTGCCTCCGGGTGCAGGACAATGGGAGTCTCATTGCCTGTGGCTCCCAGCTGGGGACAACCACCCTGCTGGAGGTCTCGAGTGGGCTCTCCACCCTCCAGAGGAACGAGAAGAACAGCGCCTCTGCAGTAAGTGCTGGGCACCAGCCAGCCCCACCCCGGCCATGTCTTCACCTGGCCCGGCCTTAGAGCAGGCAACCAGAGCAGGCCGTCCCCTCCCTCCTGCTCTGGGTCTCTGGGGAGACGGAGTCGCTGTCAGGAAGGTCATGCTGTTCCTCATGTGAGCTCCACAGGGCACGTCAGCAGGGCCCAAATCCACCCTGGCTCAGCCGCCACCTGGCCATGTGCCCTGGGCAGGCAGCTTTTTAAAAATTTTTAGAGAGATTTTTGCTATATGGCATGTGCACTCGCCGAAGAGGTAGGCAGAGATGGAGATACAGAAAGTGAGAAATCACCCCCCAGGGGGCATGGGCACACGTGCGTTTGCGCCCAGCCTGAGTTTTAAGTCGTCGGGTCTAGGACTCGAACCATAGTCAACTACATGGGAGTCCAGCGATGTAACCACTGCGCCATCTGCTGATCCCTACCAGCTTTATTTACCTTTCCAGGCTCCAAGTTTTCAGCTGAAAATCAAAATGATTTGATTCATTCGGTTTCTCTTATTTCAAAATGGGGGGGTTGAGGGGTGACCCTTTCCAGTGACGGCTTCACAGGTTGCCCACGGAGCCGATGGAAGGGGCTGCCCCTGGGCCAGGAGGGCACAGATCCTCTGCCCCTGCCCACAGGCAGCCTGGAGGCAGCTCCCGGTCCCATTGCACACGGCGAGGTTGAAAGCCAAGTGCTGAGGCATGAAGAGCTCGTGGCTCTGCCCAAGACTGGGGTCTCCCCACAGAGCTGGTCCTCACTGGGCCCAGGGTCACCACAGTGCAGGACTCCAGAGGGCACTGCTCGCCCTGTGGCCCATGAGCTGGATAACTGGGCACCCCGCTCCAGCCTTCCCACCCCAACATTCAGCCCTCTCTTCTCAATGCCGGCTCCGACGACAGACCCCACGGGCCTCTCTGAGCTGAGTGAGGACTCAGGAGAAGCCCGCCCTGGCTCCTTGGTGGCAGCAGACAGCCGCCCCACGCTCTACCCTGGCCTCTGTCCCTGTGTCCCCAGATGTTCGAGCGTGAGACCCGGCGAGAGAAGATCCTGGAGGCCAGGCACCGGGAGATGCGGCTGAAGGAGAAGGGCAGGGCAGAGGGCAAGGACGATGACCAGAGGTACGAGGAACCTGCCGTCGACCTGCAGGAGCTGGTGGCCAAGGCCGAGGAAGAGTTCTTCGACGTCATCTTCTCAGAGCTGAGGAAGAAGGAGGTGGACGCCGTGAAGAAGTCAAAGCTGGTAGAGCCCTCGGCAGGGACTCGGGGGCCGGGTGGGGGCCACGGCTTCTGCGTCCGGCCTTGCCAGCTGGACCTTTATCTCCCTGTCTGACAAGGGGGAGGAGAAACTCCCTTCCTTCCAAGGACTCTTAAGTCCAATTGGACTTTGGGTTCCACAGGGAGGAGCCTGCTCTGGGCTGCAAGCTTCTTGGCATCCTCCCCACTGCCATGATGGGCGTATCTAGACCTCGCTCACAGAAGGTCCTGTCAGGGAACAGTGGGCCTCAGGGCTCGTGAAGGAAAGAGCCGTGACATTGCATTGTGGTGTCAGGAGTGTGACCTGCACTCAGCTCATCTGGCCCTCTGGCACTTTCCAGCTCTTCTTCCCAAGCTGGTCTTGGTCCTTACATTTCCCTTGGAAGGGGCCAGGAGTTGGCATAGTGGTTACGTTGCTGGACTCCCACAAGGCCGACCATGGTTTGAGTCCCAGACCTGGTGGCTTGAAACTCACACTGGGCCCATGTGTGTGCATGCCTAAGATCCCAGGAGGAGAATGGAGAATGGAGAAGGGATTGTGGTGTGGCCATTCCCTCAGGGAGCGATTTCTCACTTCCCTCTCACTATCTCTGTCTCTCTTTCTCTCCAGCAAGTGCATGTGCCCTAAGGCAAAAACTTCTCAAAAAAAAAAAAAGAACAATTTCTTTTTTTGGAAAATAAGGATATTGAACTATAAAGATGGCACCTGGCCATCTTCCAGGCCTACTTCTGTATCAAGGGACAGAGAGGGGAAAAGACCTTGTCCGTGTGGGTCATCCATTGCTTGAGGGACCCACAGATCAGATGCCAAGGTGGGAAAGAGCCAGCGACCTGCATGGGGGGCAGGGGCCAGCGAAGGCACACCAGGGGCTACCCTTGTGAGCAAGGCTAGCTACTGGGGGGTGGGATGCATAATGAAACCTTGTCTGAAATGCCTTCCGAATTTGAAGGCAGTGGCGGCAGAGCACTGGCCCTGGCATGGGCCTTTCTTCCTGCCTTCGAGAAGAGCTATGTGACGTTCTTGGTCATGGTGAGGTGGACAGAGGGGAGAGTGGCGAAGCACACAGAGATGACCACTCCACTCCTTCTCTGTCCTCTCCCCACGGGTCTACACCCAGGGGAGGATTTCTGCTGGCACATTCTGCCTCTGGCGGTACTTGGGTGTGAGGCAAGGACTCTGGCTCTCCGTGTGCACAGCGGGACAGAGAGCTCCCCGGTTTCAAAGAGTGGAGACTAAGGTCCTGGCTCTCTGACCGTGGCCCAGGGCTGCTCCCACCATCGCCCAAAGGCGAACCCACACCAACCCCCTGTCCTGTCTCGTTCTCGATGAGGTTGTACCTCGGAAGGGGCTAATGTTCACAGGCTCGGCCCTGCCCTCTCTCACTGCAACTCCCTCTCTGAGTCTGCTCTGGCCCACAGCTCTGGTGGGTGGAGCCAAGCAAGCACTGCCCCTACTGGAGCCACCCTACGTATGTGGGGACTGTCTGTGCTGGGTCCCCACATGCCCATGCTCGTTCTGCTAGGCCCAGGCTCAGCCCCGCAAGGCACCGTGTGTGTACAGGTGAGGGCCTGGAGGAGACTGGGCAAAGCTGGTCTGAAGTCGCCCAGTCCACAAGCAGCCCGAGCAGGATTCCCTGGGCCCTGCCCGTTTCCCTCCCCGCAGGCTCTTGCCGGCCATAGAGCGGGCCCACGGGACTCCAGGAACTCCACAATCCAGACTTCAGCTGATGGGCTGCTCTGACCTCATGGGGCTGACATGGGGTTGGGGGATAGGCTGGTCCCACCAACACTTCTGTGCTGTGTCCCCTCCACAGAAGCAAAAGCAAGCTGTGGACACAGACCAGGAGCCGGAGGAAGAGGACACAGGGCAGGAAGAAGGCGAGGAGGAGACGCCGGCCTAGACGCCAGCCTTGGACTGCAGTGTGGCCCCGAGCCCGCCGCCCCAGCCCTTGGTCTCGCCCGGGTCTTACAGGCGGGGGCTCAGCTCCTCTTAAAGCATCCACACGTGTGCGGTGGAGCCGGAGGATGGAGGCCCTGGCCAGCCCACCCGCACAGAGCGCTGGCCCACCCTGGCTCACTGGAGCCCAGCCTTAGGAGAGGGGAGGGACAGAACTTGAGCCCCACCCTCACATGCCCATCTTAGCCCCTGTCCCGAGCACACCAGAGGCCAAGGCCAGCCCCACTTCAGGTCCGCCCCAGCCCGGCCCTGCCATTTCCTCTAATTCAGACTCGCAGGCTTCTCTGACAGCCATCACCTCCGGGAGCTTGAAAGCTTCAGCCGGGCTTGCCAGCCTCAGTGGGGCTTCGGGAAGACCTGGGGCTGGGAAGGGTCTCTCCTCTTTCCTGACCCTCCTTGTCCACCTGCATGTCAGCAACTGGGAGCCCATCCACGTCTACGAAGCCTTTCCCAGCACCTCCCAGGCACCCGCACACACAACCCTCCGGGGTCCCCAGAGCGTGTGCGTCTGTGGCTGGCTGGCCACCCTGTGCACCGCAGGCTGTCCCGGTCTCAGCTCTTACATGATTAAATTAAGACCCGTACCGATGGTCAGCGCGGCAGGCCTCCGGTGCAGGCAGCTTTCCTTGCTGCCCCGCGTCTTCCCTTCAGAGTCCCTGGTGCACGGACTTGCCTGTCACAGAGCCATGAGGGCAGAGTGGGGTGGGAGTGCTGGCGAACCCCCACGGCAGTGCAGAGCCTTTGGGGGCCCCAAAGTGGACAGGGAGCTACCCCAAGGGCACCTTGAAACCACAGCTCAGCAGAGCTTCATCAGAAACGTCACAGGGCAGAGGGCATCTCCCAGCCCACGTTGTACCTGCAGTCCGACCGATGCACCCTCTGTGGGTGCAGCTGATCTTGACAGGATCCACTGTGCCCCTCAGAAATACCTGTGTTAGGACCAGCAGATGGCGTAATGGCTATGTCACTGGACTCCCATGTAGTCGACCATGGTTCAAGTCCTGGGCCCGGTGGCTTAAACTCACGCCAGGTGCGTGTGCGTGCGTGCCCAAGATCCCGAGAGGAGAATGGAGGAGAAGGGATTGCAGCGTAGCCATACCCCCTGGGGGGTGATTTCTCACTTTCTGTCTCTATGTCTCTCTCGCTCTTTCTGGCGAGCACACGCATCCTATAGCAAAAACCTCTCAAAAAAAAAAAAATAGCCTGTGTTAAGAATCTCACTGAGGAGGGACCAGCAGTTGATGTAATGGCTATGTCGCTGGACTCCCATGTCATCTACCATGGTTCGAGTCCCGGACCTGGTGGCTTAAACTCATGCCAGGCGCGTGTACATGCATGCCCAAGATCCCGAGAGGAGAATGGAGGAGAAGGGATTGCAGCGTAGCCATACCCCCTGGGGGGTGATTTCTCACTTTCTGTCTCTATGTCTCTCTCTCTCTTTCTGGCGAGCACACGCATCCTATAGCAAAAACCTCTCAAAAAAATAAAACAAAAAAATCTCACTGAGACCAGTAAATGGCGTACGGGTTACATCACTGGACTCCCACGTGGCCAACTGCAGTTCAAGCCCCAAACCTGGTGGCTTAAAAATCACGCTAGGTGTGTATGCGTGCATGCCCAAGATCCCAGGAGGAGAATGGAGAAGGGATTGCAGCAAGGCCATCCCCTATGGGGGTGATTTTTCACTTCCCCTCTCACTGTCTCTCTCTCTACATGCCCTATGGCAACAAAACCTCTTAAAAGAATCTCACTGAGTGGGCCAGCTGGTGGCATGGAGGTTAAGGTGGGTGGATCCCACGTGGCCAAATACGTGGTTTGAGCCCCCCAAATCCCAAGAAGAGAATGGAGGAGAGGGGATTGCAGTGTGACCATTCCT